ACACAAAACTTGAGACATCTGTGGCATTGTGTTGTGTGGCAAAACTGCGCATTTTAGAGTGGTCTTTTATTGTCCCCAGCACAAGGTGCACCTGTGTAAAGATAATGCTGTTTAAACAGCTTCTTGATATGCCACACCTGTAAGGTGGATGGATTATCTTGGCAAAGGAGAAATGCTCACTAACAGGGATGTAAACACATTTGTGCACAACATTTGAGAGAAATAAGCTTTTTATGCTTAAGGAACATTTCTGGGATCTTTTATTTCAGCTCATGAAACATGGGACCAACACTTTACATGTTGTGTTTATATTTTTGTTCAGTGAATTTCTGAATCTGTCACAATGACTAACCAGTCATCATAACTGCTCCAAGCCAACTCCACTTAAAGATTGTTATAATCATCATCATCATTATCACCATCATCATCACAGGCAGGCTTATCTTGACTAAATATACGGTACAATTTCCTATATAATGACACAGAAGAGACCAACGTGTAGGCAGAATCAACCCATGCTTTTATTTAATCTGTTGCATATAAAAAAAATGTTTTCTTCAGTTTTCTTTTTTTTTACAGAAAGTTTATGATCTACAGTGCTATCCAATAGACTGCAATTAACAAGGAATCCATTAAAATAACGTTATATTGTCTTGTGAAACTTCCAGACAAGTTGGCATTCTAAAGACATAACCCCAAAATAATTGTCCTTCTAAAGACATAACCCAAAAATAATTGTCCTGAAGACCTTTTTGAAGTTACAGTTTGTGTGTTACAGTTTGTGTATTTCTTTCATACCATAAGAACACAAAATGAGAAAAGAACCCACCGATTCCATTGGTCCAGGGCTGTTTAGAATCTACAGTATGCGTGTCAAAATAAGAGTCCCCATCGAAGGACGTGTTTTTAGGATGACAACCCCCCCCCCACCCCTTACCCCCAACCCCGCCTCACTCCATAATAGCTCATCTTCTCCTCTTCAGGCAGAAAGATGTCAGTGGTTTTGGATATTGCATGTGGTATGAGTGGACGTGCTTGCCAAGAATGGCTGAGCAGCACATTGTGAGTGTTTCAGCCTAAATAAATGCAGCAGTGACTGAACACGTGGTGCTTCACAACCCTATAGGACCCACCGCCCTCACTGATCCAGCTTGGCCAAGCCACCACTCATCTAGTGGATCTTAGGCCTGAGTCAACCTGGAACTCCATAGCCATGACCTCCGTTTTCAACCTTGACAACAGAATGTATAGCATGTGCTGCCTTTTTTCCATGTTCACATAACATTTCTGATTTGGCTGTGAAGTAAAAAGGCAACATTTTTTAATGAATTCCTTTCACAACTGGAGGCCATTGTCTGGGTCAGGTCAGCTCAAACCACGAGATGATGTGATGCAGCAAACGAGGAGAATATAAATAAATAAAAAAGAGACAAAAAAATGGCATGTTGAATTTAAGGCACAGCCCATGGGCCAAGGAACAGCTTCCTCTAAAAAACTATTTGGCTTTTCCCTCTCCTCCTCCGCTCTGAGCAAGCTTCTCAGATAACCAATATCAATGGATCATTTTACACTGAATAAGCATGTGTAATAAACATTCTCTCAACAAGAGGTACGTAATACAGCCACACCATCACCATAAGGGATGATAAGAGTCAATAATTCACAACAAACAGCATCATGATGATAATAATAATAATGGTAGTATTTACAGCACAATAAATATATGTTTGTAAACAGAGATACAACCAGAAAGCGGTATTATGGTAAGGTCATCGGGTGAGGACAGAGAAAAACAACTTGGCACAAGGAAATAAGAATGAAATAAAACATTTGAAATGACACATTTCTTTTAAAATAAGCACTCTAACATTTCTTGATTTTTAAAAACTGTATGTACATATTCAGAGAAAAAAAGCATATTTAGGTATAGTAACTGGAAAGCCTGTACTGCGGTCTATGCTACAGCGAAAGCTTTACTGTACCGCCTTAATATGGCAAGAAAGACACAACAAATACAAAAATATATAAATAAATAATAGCATCAATTGTAATAACAACAACAATAGAAATATGTAAAAGAAAGTCTCTTGGCTGAAGTGTATAGAGCCTTGTTCAAGCCTAAATGTGCATGTGAGTTTTGGCAAGTTTAATTTTTAAAAAAGTTAAGTAGCGAGATACGAAAACATCAGTGCATTATCTATAGCCGACTAGTCTTCTTATGAGACCACTGCACCATGGAACTGATTGTCTTGTGTTCTTGGTCAAAACAAACAAATCCAAGGTTAGTGTGATGACAATGACAGAGCTGCATGAACAGTCAAAATCATGTTTTTCATCAAATTTGATGATATTTGGATGAAACCAGATCAAAGTATGATGACCAAAAGTATGAAAAATAACTATTGCTTCTACATTGATAAAGTTTGATCATAAACGTACTGGTCCCCTCCCCCATGTCAAACACTTGGATTCAGGAGGTGGGATTATTAAGGGGATAGGGTGACATCGCCCTAACTCTCATTTTAATACACCAATGGTAACATGATATTCTCTTACCTAATTTAAATAGGTACCGCCTTGTTACCAACATTGGAGAAGGCGTGTTTGAGCAGGGGCTTGGTTTATATAGCCAGATAGCTACACTACTGGTGCCAAATTTTGACTGTAGGGTGTCAGCAAGTATAATTAAAAATTTACATTATTCATCTATGGCAAATATACTTATATCTGGTGTTAGATAGTTACTGGCTAGCTAGGTCTTCAGCCAGCATGGAACAAAGGTGGGGGGGGGGGGTCATTCAATACTCTAACGCAGTTGTCACGTCAACAAATCTGTCAGTGCTGCTGTGAACCGCATCACAAGAGACATGCCAAATGGGAGATATATATTTTTTACATCATTGATGCAATTTCAATGTTGTTTGAGTTGCTTTGTGTATCACCAAATTTGCTTCAGATGATTTTACTGCAACACTGCTCACTGCATCCAAGTTTCATGACATAGGCATTTCAAAGAGCTGTCAATCAAGGTGAGCTCATGAATATAAGCTCCCCACCAACTCAGCCTGTCGTTTCAAACTTCCTGGTAGTTAGCCAATTTCTATCCCCCCAAGGCTATTTTGCATGGGAATCAGAATGACTGTTCATGACCTTTAATGTGTGAAAACATCAACCATGTAGTGCGTTGGAAAATATTACTGACCTGCAGTAAGGGCTGCGGTCAATTCCATTTCAAGTAAATTCAGGATATGAATTGAAATTCCCATTCAAGACTTGAAAATAGCTCATTATTTTCAATGAGGATCTTTCAATTATTGAACTGGAATTTGATTTGTTTCTTATTAGCACTCACAAATGTGGTTGTAATAATGACTGTCACTGTACATATTTCAGACATCTCACAAAGCTATTACTTTATCTGAGGGATTTTAAAGATTAATCTCTTATTTTTACAACTATTATTCAATAAATTGCTTCCCGAATTGAAAATCGAATTGACCACATCCCTACACCACAATCAGGAAATGGAGACATGATTGACAGGTAATAGGAAATAAGGTTAGAAAAGTGTCGCAACCCACCAAATTACAAAAATTATATTATAACATTGCTATAGGTATCAAACCCCCATAGACTTCCACAGTACAGCAGAGCGTGGTGACATCACCTCTGTACACTTGCAGTACTCCAATTCAATCCTTTAACCAAAGTTGCTTCTTACAAGCATTGCATTGTCTGATGACATGCGCTCACATTTACTGCAGGCAACAATAAGTAGAACTTAAAGGCTTCTTTCTGGTCAGTCAGACAAAATGATTTCATTCAATGTAAAGTAAGGTATGTGTCATGTTTTTCTTCAGTGAAAACAATCCTTGAAATGATTGTTACATGATTATGACAACCGAACATGGGGACAGTGGTATGGGAGTAATAGTGTAAATGCTTTTAGATAAATGTACAATCCCAAATCAAGCCCTAACACCTACCCCTTAGGCACTCCTGTAGATCTGAGAGGATTGGACACGCTAATCCAATCCTCTCAGATGTAGTGCGTAGTGTGTAGTGTAGGGGCAAGGGCTTGATTTGGAATTCTGAGAATACTCCCCAATACTCCCCCAAAACAATAACTGGTAAGTTACCCTTTTATACACAGAAAAGCAGAGGCAGACGAGGCATTTCTCATCAACAGTTTTCAAGTGCCTTTCAAATGTTTTTAAAAGTCACTTATTTTTTTAAAATCTTGGTTAACAAAAGTAGAACCTACAATAGATCTCCATCTTATGTATGGTACGATACAAAAACTCTAGAGGTTAAACCCAGCATTAGAGCTGTAAGATCTTAGCCTTTTTTAGTCAGGTTTTCAAGGAAGACTTAAACTTCAGAAAAGTCACTTGATAAATTCCCACAATGCATTTCTCTCACTGTGCTGCAGCGCCTCTCTCCATGGTGACGTGTCCTGTTGTGATTTCATTCATTCAGACCACACAACAACTTAGCACGTTGCTTTGCTGATAAATACAAACAACTAAGATAAACAGACACTATAGTCACTTCTGAAGAATGGGCACTTAATAACACACAGAAACACTGCCATTGGTCAGCCAAGGCTGAAAGGAGGAGAGATATACTGTATATGAACAGCATTAAACACACTCTAAACGGCTGATCATAATCCTTAATGTAACTTCAACACACTAGGACTGGGTTTTGAAGTGAAATAACACACAGACTATTCCGGTACAAACGTGAATGGAAAATAGTTTTCCTGAGTGCAAAAAACTTGTAGAAGTACCAGTGGGCGTGTCTGAGAAGCTGACCGATAGGATGAGGAGGGAGGAGTGGCCAAGGGGTGGAGAACAGCGTGCGCTTTGGAACCCTAAACATAAATATATATATAAAAAATAATTACAGATATAGTCCACAAAACCCCCAAAATACTCTATAAATAATCATCTCTGGTTACTAAGAAGAAAAGTTTAGTTGCCGTCCATACACTGCTATGTATCGGCTGGTTTCTCCTCTGCCTTCTCTTCCCCTTCCTCCCCCTCCTCTTCCTCCTCCACTACACAAGGTTGTGATGAAGAGGACTCTCCCTCCACCTCCACTTCCTCTTCCTCCTCCTCCCCCACCTGTTCGTCCAGTGGTATCTCTGTCGACTCTGAGTCCTGCGTACAGAGTGTTTTTGAGTCACTACAACTGTTTTCCTCTTCTTCCTCCTCTTCCTCGGGTTGGCTGCCACTGTCCTTCTCCGTGTCCGATTCCCCGTCCTCCTCCAGGGTGAGTTCAAACTGGAACTTGTCCCCTCCAGCGGGGCGGCTGCCGTCCTCAGGCTCGTCCAGGGTAGGTGAGGGGCTCTGGGGGATGGTGCTCTGGTACCACTCCCTGTTGTCCTCCAGAGTGTCCAGGATGTCCTGAGCGTCAGGGTGCACCAGGTCTGCCCACGTCTCCCATAGAGGGTGGACGATGTAGTCTATGAAGCCCACCTGGAGAGAGGACAGGGAGGGTTAGGGTTAGTGAAAAACAATAGAAATGATTTTTGTGTGTGTTAGTGTGTCTGTGTGTGTGTGTGTGTCTGTGTGTCTGTGTGTGTGTGTGTGTGGGGGGGGGGGGGGGGTATGGGTGTGTGGTTTGTTTCAAAGCAGAGTGAGTGTTTCAGTGTGTGCGTGTGCGTGTGTGTGTGTGTCTGGTTTGTTTGGGTACCTGGCTCTTCTGGACAGAGGCGTTGTGTTTGTCACACATAGGGCTGATCTCCATGCCTCTCTCCCTCTCCCTGTCCCCCTGGGTGAAGAACTCTTCCATGATGCGGTCGGTCCACTGGCGGTACAGCTGCAGGGGCTTGGTGGGGTTACTCAGGTCCGCACAGTGCACCATGTTCTGCAGAACCTGTATTCTGTCAGAGTAGTTGTCCAGGAGTAGAACTCCAGAGCTGGTCACCTTCTTGGTCTCCACCATGGTCTTCAGGTCAGCCAGCAGGTTCATGTGCTTGGACATGTCAGTCGCTAGGACCTGGGGACCACCAGAGACACAACACAGGCTGTCACAATACTGCCAGGGACTAACCAATAGAACAGATCCTCCATATTAATGGAGAATTGCCTTTGGTAACATCTGAGAACATAGAAGAAGTAAACAGTAGCAATCAAGTACAACCATGGACATTTTTTAAGCTGATGTGGACACTATTTCAGAGATGTTCCTATTGGTTACTGATTACTATCCAGTCACTCACGATGTCGATGACCATCTTGCGCAGTGATTGTCGTTGTTTTTTGGTCAGGTTCTGGAAAATGTCACAGTTCTCTTCCTGAAGCAGCTTGAAGCCCACAGCCAGGTGGTGGTTCTCCAGGACTGACGAGTCGTTGTACATGAGGGCCAGCTCCGAGTCTGGGGGACAAACACACATACACTGACTCCAATGTTTGACATAAATAATGTGATATTACGTCCACAAAACAGGGTTTGATGGAGAGGTGTTGTTGAGGTCCTTATAGCTTTAACATAAATATTAACTTAAACAGATCTGTACAGGTTGAACTGGTGTTCTGGCTGACAGAGGCTCATTCTAGTGTTTCCTGACTGATGACTCCTACTGCCTTCGCTGCAGGGCATCCCCCTCTGGACTTCAGGGAGACAGCACATGGCACAACGGAGGAGGAGGTGTGTGTTTGTGTGTGTGTGTGTGTGTGCACATGGGTGGATTTAATCTCTCAGTAGGGATGCTTAGTAGCCTGTGTGCCTGATGTTGAGTGTTGATCCCAGATGCGGGGGAGAGACAGAGGGCATCCATCATGCCCCGTGTCAGTCAATGACGTAACTCTTAAGTCAGGTCTGTATTTAGACTCACTGGTGTTGATGAGGAACTGGTTGGAGACTCCAGGGTGGTCCACGTCATGAATAGCACTGGCAAATATGGCAGCTAGGATCTCCAGGTCTGTGAACACAGCCTGGGAACAGCAGAGAGGACAGTACAGGGTCACACCAGACATTCAACCAAATAACAGCAATCAGAAATCTGTCAGTTTCAGACAAACTAAAGCTGAAGTATATTTTTGTACAAATACAAATGCAGTGTTATTGATGAATTGACTGATTGATTGAGGGGTCCAACCTCTAGAGCGGGGGTGGATAGCAGCACGTGAGTGGACTGGGTGACATCAGCAGCATGGATGTTGTTGTGATAGGCCACGTCGCCATGGTAATGGTCTTCTAAGGTCATCAGGTAGGTTATAAAGGTGTCGAGTGGAATTTTAAAAGTTTTTAACAAGTCTCTCTCCTATAAGAAAAACAAAACAAAAGCATAATTTTGTATTCTAGTAGACTATGGATACAAGTCATGTTAGTACAATCAACAAAAATAGAGCAGATCAAATTGAACTGATCTATACCTGGAATATAGTATGCATCATGACCGTCAGGGGCCTGTTCCCAGAGAACTCAGTGACTTTGAAAACGTTAAGGCCCCATTTATTTACATCCTCCAGCTCCTGCAAAGGGAAAACAACCATTCTTACACTGATATAGTTTAGAGCCTATCATCTTCTCCTCTTTCTCTATCCCCCTCTCTAGATCTTTCCCTACAACTCTCTCCCCTATATCACCCTCTATCCCTCGTTCTCCCTCACCCTCTCTCTTTATGTCTCCTCACCCTCCCTTTCCAAACCCTCTCTCCCAATGCTGCCCACCTTAGCCAGTTCGTCCTCTGTCTCGCTCTTGACTCCGAAGCGGGGTATGTTAGAGTTGGTGAGGCTGGAGCTGTGCTGCAGTTTCTTCACCCCACTGATCTCAGACATGGGCCTGTTCTTCTTGTCTTCCTTCTCCTTCTGCGTCTGGGGAGTCGGCATCTCCACCTCGTGCTGCTTGTCTGTGTCAAACACATAGAGGAAGAGACAGTGAGTGAGACGTCGAAAATATCTGTATTAACAACACAGAAGACACCCTATGGGCCCTGGTCAAAAGTAGGGCTTTATATAGAGAATAGGGTGCCATTTGGGACGCAGCTCTAGCCTCTCTACAGGGCCAGTATGAGCAGGGAGGAGTCCAGTGGTCACTGTGGTCACTCACCCAGGAAGGTGCTGGAGATGAACTCTGACACCTGGTTCCCCGAGCGGCTCATCTCAGACAGGTGGCTGAGCTCCCTGTTCAACATTCTCTTGAACTGGAACACAACACACACACACACACACACACACACCGACAGACAGACAGACAGACAGACAGACAGACAGACAGACAGACAGACAGACAGACAGACAGACAGACAGACAGACAGACAGACAGACAGACAGACAGACAGACAGACAGACAGACAGACAGACAGACAGACAGACAGACAGACAGACAGACAGACAGACAGACAGACAGACAGACACAGTGAGAAGGGGTTACAGTTTGTAGTATACCAGGGAACATTTAGTTACATTCTGCACTGGATGAGTCAATCATGATTTTGTATGATTTAGGAGAAAGGTGGTGGAATCCTCGAGCACATACTGGAGGATTCTGTCCGGCCATATCTCTATTGAGGGCCAAAGTCATTTCTAAAGGTAGAAGAGTCTTTTAGAAGGGAAACAGCAGACACTATGAGACACCACACTTTAATCAGTACTACTACAGCATGCTCCACACACACACACACAAACACACCAAGTTGAGAGGCTGGAGGTGGTACAGATCAGGTGAGATACCCGCTGCACCCCCCTGCCAGCCACAGTTCTGATGTAATCAGTAACCTAATTCTCCGTCACCCACTTTCGTTCTCCCTCTCCCTCTCTCCCTCAGTCTCGCTCTCTCTCTCCTAAACCTGATTGGAATGGCAGACCCAAATGTAGCTTTGACCTTTGATTTGGAGGACAGTCAGAGGAATGTGGAGGTGAACTCTTAAACAACAGTGATTGCGAAACCAGGCTGAAGGCTGTATCGCTACGAAGCAGTTCCGTAAAGCGTTACATTTTATCGAGAACGCTTTCGCCTCAGTGCACTTTCCCACAGCGCTCTTTCACCACAGTTACATCAGCAGTCCCAACCCACTAATTTATTGGGTTTATCTAGTTTCACAAAGGTATAGGCTATAATTTGTAAATTAGATTTAGCTACAATATCACAAAGACAGCGCAAGTAGATAGAGCCCAGGAACATATAGCATCTACTAGTGATGGGGGGGGGATTGATACAGTTACATAATTAAAATATGATATTACAATATTAATTTTGGATGATATTTGTAAAAAATATCTATATGTCTATATTTTTTTGCTACTGTAGGTAGCGTTAGCTAGCGCTAGTCGGCTGTACCTGCGTCAAAACTCCGGTATTTTTTATCCTATAGCTTGTTCTCCATCTTCTTTTTAAATAGTGAGCCAACATGTTTTTACCACTATTACTTCCCTGACTGATCAAAACGTGTTTTCTCATGCTCTCTATTGTCTCTCTGCAGCAGGTATAGTCAGCAATATGTTTCTAACATCAAAATCGTAATAAAATCGCAGTATCGAATCGCAAAACATATACTATTGTATCGTGAGGTCCCTGGCAATTTTCCAGCCCTAGCATTTACTGTGCTCAACTGTAGTGCTTACAATATCTGAATACACACACATTTACATTTCATTCTCAACCTGGCAATTGTTGCCCCCGCGTTAGGGAGCCAGCTTGCATACTATATAGGAATGGTCAATATGGATCAATATTAGAGGCCATTATGAACCCATAGTGCTTACTGTGCAGTTGGACTTTGACATAACCTGGCCAAACCAAGGGATTGGAACTCAACACCTTCAAGCGACCTTATCCAATGATCAAACAGACATACACTGTGTATATGAATGTGGAACACAGTGCTGAACATTTCTTTATCGATGGACATGTTGGTAAAGCTTGAAGCTTCCCTTCCTTACAATAGAGTCGCTGCAATTATTTTGGTACCCAAAGCAAAACAATCTTTGTTCCAGAAAGTGACTGCCGTTGATACAGCCCTTTGATATTCACCAACGCACTCAATGCCACCCTTTCCAACACAGCATATCCCTTTTCCTGCATTTTATACCAAAACCTGTCCCTGTACGCTATAAGCTATAAGTCATGTGAACATACTCCTCCATAGAGGCATCAGTAGCCGGCCGTGAGAGCATCACCTTTATCACACCAACTGGGGGGAGCTGCAGACAGCACACCAATCCATACTACCATTTAATCATAATGCCAGAAATACAGATGGATTATGTCAAACAACACCTTTGTCTCTCTATTTACAGCTCAAAAAACTAAGTTTAAATGGATGTCAGGGACAAGCATGCTTTTCCTTTGTCTGATAATGACATCATTCTCACCTCATCGGAGGAATGATGGCTTGCTTTTTCAGAAAAATATATATTAATAGTATTAGAATAATAAAATCCACCTCACATCTTACCTTTATATATCCCCAGGACACAGAGAGCAGGTAGTTGGCCTCAGGCATTTTGAAAAATGTGAAATATGTGGACCAAATATAAAAAGAACAGGCAGACTAGAGCCATGCTACAGCACAGAACAACAGAACAGGAGAGAGAGACCACCAGCAAAAGCAGCTCAATACAGCGAGAGCACAGAGTCCCCGAATAAGAGGGGTTTTGAGGTATACTGAAGGTCCATCCACTGAACACAGTCAGTCATATCTGCTCCGTCCCTCCCCATTGGGAAAGCCATAGTCCAGGATCCTGACTGGAGCACTGCACTCTGGGGAAGCTGGGGACAGAGTGTGGGTGCCCGTGGCTCTGATGAGAGCATCGTCTCGCACACACACACACACACACACACACACACACACACACACACACACACACACACACACAGTGAAACCCACACACACACACACACACACACTGCTGGGGTGTGTGAATAATAGATGGTGTGAGAGGAGGATGCTTGGATGCTGCCGGTGCTCCTGGAGAGAGAAGGTCTCCTGTCAACAGCTTGTAAACAAGGCTGCTTCTGCCTGTCTATCACACACACTCCCATATGAAGCACACGGCTGCTGCCCTCATCCACAGACACACAGCCTATCAGGGAGAGGATAGGGAAAACAGTGAGCTCATCACCACAGCTGATTGGATGGGCTGGAGCAGAGTGAGATCATCCCTCTGTGTGATTGGCTGAGGTCGAGGTTGGAAGTTATTCCTCTGAGGAGTTTTTACCCCATTTTTAAAAATGTATTCTGCAGTACAGCGGGATGGGGACATACTGTATGCTTGTACTGTGTGTGTGTGTGTGTGTGTGTCATCTAGCTGAGGTAATCTGTGGGACACTGTTGCTGGAAGCGGAGATTGTCTCATCTTGGTCATGCAATATTCACACTGAAGATAATTCAGGCAAATTTCCTGGGAGAAAACCACAGAAAATTATATGTGAAATAGGTTTAAATCTCATTAAACTTTCACTAGTCGTGAGCGTCACTGGACTGTCTGGAACACTTAGTACAGCACAGAGAATACTGTATGCCACTTCACTAAGGGTCATACATGATGCTGGATTCCATTTGTTTGACCATGAGGCCATGGCTTTGTCCTCTGGTCAAAATAAGTGCACTATATAGGGAATAGGGTGCCATTTGGGACACAGCCCATGTCTATGGTCCAGAGTTTTATGGTGAGCAATAACCTGTCTGGGTTTTCTCTGAACTGGGGATGGGTACAGCACCACTGTATGTGTGCTTCTGAAGCAGTTATGCTGGAGTATGGATGGATGGTAGTCAGAACACATGAAAATCATTAACAGAGGAAAGGAGAGCAGGCTATAGTTTTGCTTAAATAAACATGCCACCTCAAAGTATCTAGAATGGCAAACTAGATTGGTGGGGCATACACTTAGACTAGTACACTATCAGTTTCCTACCTAAAACAATGAAGTCAAGCGTTGGGACAACCAAAATACCCCCAGTAGATAGCAGACAGACAGAGCCACTATATCAGTCTGAGGGTACTGTCGTGTCTCAGATTACTTTACACCTTGGGTCTCCAAAGGCGCCCAGAAGGCATTGTGGGTAGTTTACAGCTGCTGGAACAGATGAGACTGCTGGTCACCTGTTGAGAGAGATATAGCGCCTCTTTCTGGGTCCGAGAGACTAGGAACAAGCCGTCACAGGCCCACAAAACACCCACGCACGTGCAAATGCACGCACACACACGCACGCACACACACGTACATTCGGTCAGCTAGCTAGCCGGCCTGCTATTGATAGCTCAGCGAAGATGTGTGAACCCACACCTTTCGGTAGAAATTGGAAAGGATCACACCATGTTTAGCTGAGACTTGTCTGTAATTTATTTTTGGGAAGTTGGACTCAAAATAGGAATTCCCTACGGAATATAGACCCAATCAAATGGATCTCATATCCAGAGCTATTGTTTGTTTTCTCACATTTATTTTTGTGGAAGATTTTTGTGTACGTAAAAGCTAACAACATGTACAACACACACACACACACACAGTTTACAAATGGTGCTATATAATATATTATTATTAATACAACATGCCCTTTGCTATCAATAACCAATATGTCTTTCTACAATTTCAGGGTAGATCAGGGACAATAATGACATGTGATCGTGACATAATCAAATAGGTGGGTGAAAAATACAGGCTGGTCACTAGAAATAGACAGCGATTTCGGACGTTTGAAAAGGTCCTGAGAACATGCCTTCTTCGGCGCTCACCAAAAAAGAAAAACGATGGCCCAGCACAGGGCGCCAACCCATGATGCTCGGAGCCAGGGTGCGCTGCTTAGACCACTGCGCCATGGCAGTTCACAAGCTGTGAGAAGACCATGAATGGTGATGATACCTAGCGTGTCATTTGAAATTATTTTGTTTTAAGTTTTCCCGAAACTATAGCCCTAACCTTAACCACTCGGAATTAATGCCTAAACTGTTAACCTTTGAGTTGTTTCTGTTTTAACCCTGTAACCACTAGTTCACCTACATGTAGTTCACTACTCCCCAACACTGCCAGTGAATGAAACATAGAATTAGGAATTAGAATACTAGAATGGACATTAGCCTTCTTTCAATGGGATAAATGTCAGCCATTTTGGTCAGGGAGTTGGTCAACCATGGTTTGCCAGTGCTGTGATAAGATATTGTGTAAAATAATGAATTTGAATAAATTATCTGCAATGTATGTTTGTTAGCTAGCTGGCTAGCTAGCCAGTTTTAAAATAATATTTCTATACATTCTTCAAATTAACTGCCAATATGGCAACGTTCCATTCAAAAAATGCAGTCAAGCCACAGATATACACTAGCTCAAATCAGTTAATGATAGACTTAGACATGTTGGAAATGCAACAAGCACTGATATTGTATCATATAATAGCACTCACTGCTTTCCAAGAATACAACCATTTTGACATTTATGGTCTGTTTACATATATTTTAGAGGCTATTTATACAGAAAAATGTATGCACTTACTAACTGTAAGTCGCTCTGGATAAGAGCGTCTGCTAAATGACTAAAATGTAAAATGTAAATGTAAATACATGACAAGATTTTAGGTTGACAATAATTCTATTACACAATTTCTTATATATTACATGCCTTACTTTTTTTTCCTGCATATTTAAAATCAGGATTATGCCTCTACTGCCATTCATTCCAATTAGAATGGTTTGGATTTCCCCCTGACCTGTTACAGGAGGGAGTCGCAGTTCCGGAGCGACCCACTAGGTGTCATCCTCCAAGAACCTTAGGCACCTCCTTACTCACAGTCTGGACTAATCATTATCCTATTGGTGTCACCTGTGTCTACCTGTTCACCTGTGTATTTATGCCCTCACTTCCCTGTGTTCCCTTGCTCAGTTTTCTCTGCTAGTATGCTCAGCAGTACTTATCAGTGTCTGATCGGAGAAGTATGTACAGGTACTCGAGAAGTGTTCTACCTGTTTCTTTATTATTTCAGTCTTAGTTACTATTTCGTATTTTGGCTGTCAGCCTGTTTTTGGAGACTTATTTGCTCCACCTTTCTTTTATCGTGTTAAGTCCGTTGTTTTGTATCCTGGCTTCGGGACCACCAGTAAAGATCCTTGTTTCACCATCTCTGCCTACTGTCTACTGTCTATCCTGCACTGCACCTGGGTCACACCTCACACCAACCCTTACACTGACCAATATGGCTGCCATTTTGATCCCATTGTAGAACTTTGAGTGTTTATGACATAGCCCCTCTAGTAATTTAATTAATAGGTTGCACCTCCATCACTCAGTCGCGTCATAAACCTTCTCAAGCCGCCCTCTACCGGTTGCACAATAGTGGTGCCCTAAAGCCGTGATAAGCCTGGAAATACGATTAGATTGCTAAAGTGGTCAGATATTTAGTAGGACACAACTTTGCCTGCATTATCATGTCGTCAAATTTACTTTAGACAGATGGCAATGTTGTCTTTTAGCTAGCAAAAATCTGATGTCCTCCGCTCAATCTTAGCTAACTAGCGAATGTTATACTGCATCTAAAGTCAATCTGCCGACATCAAAATGATAACAAAAGGTTTTCCTACTAATTATTTTCCTCCTATTGAATGGCATTGTATTTCCAAGCCATTTCTGATTAAATCGTCATCAGTGCTCATTGACGATGCATCGAGCACACTCAGTTGGGCATCAGTCCAAAACAAACGTTCAAAACAATATTGTGACGAAACATGCAACCGATGAAGAGGATCTCTATGGAATGAAATCACTCCTGTGTAACAATAACAGTGATGTCACCATTACATATAGTACATGCAATTACACCAGCTAGCTCTTACAAACCTCCAGCCTGTGCGCTACGTTCTACCTAAGTATTTTATAATGCACACGATGCAACCTGCTAACCCCCTATAGCTACACCGAGTGCACAAAAGATTAGGAACAACTTCCTAATATTGAGTTGCACCCGCTTTTGCCCTCAGAACAGCCTCAATTTGTCAGGGCATTGACTCTACAAGGTGTCAAAGCGTTTCTCAGGGATGCTGGCCCATGTTGACTCCAATGCTTCCCACAGTGTCAAGTTGGCTGGATGTCCTTTGGGTGGTGGACCATTCTTGATACACACCACGGGAAACTGTTGAGCGTGAAAAGCTCAGCGGCGTTGCTGTTCTTGACACTTTCAAACCGGTGCGCCTGGCATCTACTACCATACCCCGTTCAAAGGCACTTAAATCTTTTGTCTTGCCCATTCACCCTCTGAATGGCACACATACACAATCCATGTCTCAACTGTCGCAAGGCTTAAAAATCCTTCTTTAACCTGTCTCCTCCCCTTCATCTACACTGATTGAAGTGGATTTAACTGGGGACATCAATAAGGGATCATAGCTTTCACCTGGATTCACCTGGTCAGTCTATGTAATGGAAAGATTGTTCCTAATGTTTTGTACACTCAGTGTATCACAGGTGGGCAGTGGCACCTTTCATTGGGGAGGACAGGCTCATAGTAATGACTGGAACGGTATTAATGGAATGGTATCAAACACATCAAACACATGGTTTCCATTTGTTTGAAACCATACCATTCACTCCATTCCAGCCATTATTATGAGCCATCCTCCCCTCAGCAGCCTCCTGTGCAGTGTATATGTATTGAATACGAATAGCACAAAATAGCACAAGTATATATGAATGATACTGGTATTCTGGTATCCAATGCTACTGTTCTGTATTTACGAAATTAAATACTCATTTTGATGTTATAGTAATGAAATAGCCATGTCGTAGGTTGATGGTTGTGTGTGTGTGTGTGTGTGTATTGGAGCACCATTACTGTGTGCTGGAGTGAGACGGCAAGCCAACCAGGCCTGTGTGTTGCTATGGAAACCAGGGATAGTTGTGTGTGCGAGAAGCTCATAAGACAGGGTGACACTGACAATGCTACAGAGTAGAGCCTGTGCTTCTCACCCCTGTATAGGGTCAACGCAATTCTGTCTGTCTGACTGTGGCTGTACTACCATCTGCTAGTGTTACAGGTACAGCATCTGTGTCTGACTGTGTGTCCCTTTGTCTGTCCACCTGCCTCTCCTCTATCTTGTGCTAGGCCCATCCCCCTATTGTGACATCACAGGGTGTGACATCAGCAGGGAGGCAGGCAGCCTCTCCAGCAGAGCCCAGAGCTGATCAGCATGCAGCACGTCAAGGCCTTGCTGGAGAGAGCTGAGCTGAGCATGCTCCCTGCACACCTCCCTCCCTGCATGACAACGCTAGATACAGCTACAGATACTGAGAAAAAAAGATGTATGAATTAATACTAATATTAGTACAGATACTACTGTTGTAGACTACTGTTGTAGAAGAGGCAGGAAGAGGTCAGAGACAGAGAGAGAGGGAGAGAGAGAGAGAGAGAGAGAGAGAGAGAGAGAGAGAGAGAGAGAGAAGAGAGAGAGAGAGAGAGAGAGAGAGAGAGAGAGAGAGAGAGAGAGAGACTAAATATGACACATTATAAGTCAAAGGTTATTGCCCTTACCTTGTTGGAGGCCATCTCGCCGACTGAGTGTCTGGTCTGTAGGGTCTCCAGCTGGTCCAGGCACCAGTCCAGCTCCTCCAGCGTCTCAGTGGCCAGTTTCTGGTAGGCCTCCTCTGGGGGGACGAGACAGGGGGGCAGGGGGTCAGTACGGGGGCGCTTCAGGGGGCTAGCACAGGCTGCTGGCCCGGGGTCTGCCTCCCCACACACAGCAATGCTGAGATGCCCCGAGTGGACGCATGGGTGACTCTTCATACTGGTGCAGAGCAGCCAGTACGAGAGTGAGAGGGGCCAAGTCACAAGTCTGATTTCCACCCCAAGACGACACCCTGATAGGGAGAGACCAGAGGGGCCTAGAGTCCTGAATCCTATCCCAGAGACCAACACCCTGAACCAGGCTGTTCAAAGCCAGAGACCACCCCCGTGTCTAAAAGTCCTACTGTCCAAACCCTTGGAGGAATGACAGGGGCGTATAGTCCTGGAACCTAAACCCCTGCACTAGGCTGTTGAAGCCCAAGCACCCCCTAATACAAAAACTGTGTGCAACAGCCGTCAACTCCCAGTCAGGAGAGGAACCGTGAGGGATGGTGAACGAACATTGTCAACCAGAGCTGAGTGTAGCACGTGGGGATGTGTGAAACATACTCCTCAGCCTGAAGTGTCCGCACTTGCGCCAGTGGATAGCTAGCTTTTCACGTGGCGTTGACTGGTAAGACGATTCAGTAGGGCGGTCACATGTGCTAGCAAGGCACAGGTCCTGAGTTCACGCCAGGTATGGCCTGAATCAGAAGGAAAGTGGTACTCGCTAAGTAAGCATTGTGACATCCTTTTCGTTACAGAGCAGCAAGGCTGTTGAGCGTGCCTCAGTTAAAATCACAGCAGAGACAGGGAATATGGAGGGTGCCCTTTAGGTTCAGATATGATACATACAACAATAAAACAGAGACAAACACACAAATGAAAAACAACACACAGAATCCTGGTCTCTCAGTGATGTATGTGTCTGAGGTTCAGTATACAGTCCATAGAAGATATATGATTCCAGTCATGGAGAAGGATGAAGAGCAGTCTGGTTAGCAGGCCCATGTCTGCCCAGGGGAGGGATGGAGGGACAAAGGGGTGGAGGAGGAGGGAGGGATGGGGGTGTAGGAGGGGCAGTAGGTCCAGACGCTGTCCAAACCACAATCTCACAACCAGCAGGTTTTCATCTCCAGGCAGGAACAATGGGGAGCACAATGTAGCATGCTGGTTGGCTGCCTGGTTGGCTGCCTGGCTGGCTGGCTGGCTGGCTAGGGGATGAGCGCTTACCGCACACACCACATGCGCGCCAGATGGAGAGCTAACCAGAACACATCACTCTGCCTCCTCAGCCTCCCTGGAGCATAAACGCTACACGTCAACGCTATCCAGAAACAAAAGTGCTTATAATCCAATGAGTGTGTGTTGTGTCTGGGCTCCGTCCTATAGATGCTGTGTGTGTAGCCTCCCTGGTATCCAGACGGCAGATCGATGCTCTTCGTCAGAGCTGTACCTAAAGCCTGAGAGGACTGCACTGTGGGTAGGGGAGGGCCGCACTGAAAGCCTGGCCTGGAGTATGGGGCAGTGGACCTGGAGCTCAATGTGTGTATCCATTCCACAGAGAGGGAGAGGGGGTGAGGGAGGGGCGGTGTACAGATAAGGAGAGAGACAGAGAAAGAGGGATGGTGAAAAAGAGATGGACCATGCAGTATGTGTCTGAGACATATGTCTGACAGAGAACTAGTAGAAGCTTTTTCAAAAGGAACAGTCTCTAAATAATATGTGTAAAGACAGACAGTTTCAAACAATGTCATGGTTGAGGTGTCAGAAGTCTATTCTAACCCCTTCCAAATCTTAAATAACAGTGTATCAAATATTTTTAATTCCTATTGTAGTCCATATTCCCTATTTCTTCTGCAAATGTATGTGTGTGTGCACTGGAGCCTCTTTCAAAGTACATAAATAAAAAGTGTCACCTCAAAAGCCAATTAATATTCATATTGTCTAAATTAGGATTGGGGAAGACTTTTAAGGCAATAGGATATGGTTAGGGTTGCAAAGGCAGTACATATTACTGGAAACTGTCGAAGTTTACCAGTAAGCTACCAGAATGTTGGTATCTTTCAAGGATCTATCACAAGACATCTAGTGGCCCTTTTGGGTACTGCAGATTATCACAGGTGTCTGTAATTATCTCTGGCCCTCTCTCTGGCCATATGTAAAATATATGAAATAATTAACTAAGATGATTTTTCAATAAAAAATAGAATGACAAAGCTGTAAAACATTTTCCTAAATATAAACCATCAACTTAGTGAATACCATTGGTGTTTGATGACGGTTTTGTCATGAAATATCCTTTAAAACCTTTTTTAAACTTTTTTTTTTTTTTTACTATGTCAATATGTATTTTGCTGTCAATGTTTTGCCATCAAACTGGTGGCAGTTGTGAATAAAGTAAATAGTTGGACGAGTTGCAGAGGTAATTAAAAACAATGCCATTGTTGACTACATGCTTTTTTCATTAATTTGTCTATTTTCTCTTGAACCACATGGTCTATCCATTAGAAACTCATAGACAAAATGGACACAGTAATAAAGAATGAATACTAAATATAAAAAGTTATTCAAGAATAAATTACCAAAGTTACAATAGATTGCCATAGAATTTCTGTTCATTACCAAAATGACTAAAGATATGTTGCATTACACCATGTGTGTAACTAAAGTATACAGAGAGAGCAATCAACTGTGGTTTCAGAAACACACATAGGCACATGGAGGCACTGGAGTGTGTGTCTGATTCAAATCAAATCACATTTTATTTGTCACATGCTTCGTAGGCAACAGGTATAAACTAACAGTGAAATGCTCACTTATGGGTCCAACAATGGGTCCAACAATGCAGCGTTAAAGATAAGATAAAAAATAAAATAAAAAATAGAATAAATACACAGTGAATAACAAATAAAAATAACAAGTAAGAATAACATGGCTATATACAGGGAGTAGAACATATCATGGCTATATACAGGGAGCACCAGTACCAAGTCGATATGCAGGGGTACGAGGTAATTGAGGTAGCTATGTACTGTACATATAGGTAGGGGTAAAGTAACTAGGCAACACGACAGATAATAGACAGTAGCAGCAGCGTATGTGGTGAGTGTGAAAGTGTGTGTGTGTGTGTGTGTGTGTTGGGGTGTCAGTGTAAGTATATGTGAGTGTGTGGATAGAGTCCAGTGTGTGTGCATAGAGTCGGTGCAAGAGAGTCAGTGCAAAAAAGGCTCAATGCAGGTAGTCCGGGTAGACATTTGATTAGCTATTTTGCAGTCTTGTTTAGAAGTCTTATGGCTTGGGGATAGAAGCTGTTCAGGGTCCTGTTGGTTCCAGACTTTGGTGCATTGGTATCTATTACCGTACGGTAGCAGAGAGAACAGCCTGTAGCTTGGGTGGCTGGAGTCTTTGACAGTTTTTTGGGCCTTCCTCTGACACTGCCTGGTATAGAGGTCCTGGATGACAGGGAGCTCGGCCCCAGTGATGTACTGGGTCATACGCACTACCCTCTGTAGTGCCTTGCAGTCGGATGCCAAGCAGTTGCCATACCAAGCGGTGATGCAGCCAGTCAAGATGCTCTCGATGGTGCAGCTGTATAACTTTTTGAGGATCTGAGAGCATATGCCAAATATTTTCAGCCTCCTGAGGGGGAAGAGGCGTTGTCGTGCCATCTTTACAACTGTGTTGGTGTGTTTGGACCATGATAGATCCTTAGGGATGTGGATACCAAGGAACTTGAAGCTCTCGACCCGCTCCACTATAGCCCCGTCGATGTAAATGGGGGCGTGCTCGGCCCTCCGTTTCCTGTAGTCCACGATCAGCTCCTTGGTCTTACTGACGCTAAGGGAGAGGTTGTTGTCCTGGCACCACACTGCTAAGTTTCTGACCTCCCCCCTGCAGGCTGTCTCATCGCCGTCGGTGATCAGGCCTACCACTATCAGGCCTACCACCGTCGTGTCGTCGACAAACTTAATGATGATGTTGGAGTCGTGTGCGGCCACGCAGTCGTTGGTGTTGAGGGTCAGCGTGGCGGATGTGTTGTTGCTTACCCTCACCACCTGGGGTCGGCCCGTCAGGAAGTCCAGGATCCAGTTGCAAAGTGAGGTGTTCAGTCCCAGGGTCCTTAGCTTAGTGATGAGCTTCGAGGGCACTATGGTGTTGCACGCTGAGCTGTAGTCAATGAACAGCATTCTCACTTAGGTATTCCTTTTGTCTAGGTGAGAAAGGGCAGTGTGGAGTGCAATGGAGTGTGTGTGTGTGTGTGTGTGTGTGTGTATGTGTGTGCCACATGTACAGTAATATTCCCAGCATGCCTCACAACCCCCACAAACATAGGCATTGCATTACTTTTTCCTCTTTGCCTCCTCCCTCACCCTCTCTTTTACATTTCTCTGCCTCTCCTCCTCCTCTTTATCGTTTTCCTTTTCCCTCCCTCTCCCTCTGTGTATAATTCTTCCTCTCCCTCTGTGTATCATTCTTCCTCTCCCTCTCTCGTTATATCTCTCCCTCTCTTGTTATCTCTCTCCCTCTCTCGTTATCTCTCTCCCTCTCTTGTTATCTCTCTCCCTCTCTTGTTATCTCTCTCTCTCTCCCTCTCTCGTTATCTCTCTCTCCCTCTCTCGTTATCTCGCTCCCTCTCTCGTTATCTCTCTCCTTTCTCCTCTCTCTCTCGTCTCATTCTATCTCTCTCCTCTCTCGTTATCTCCTCTCCTCCTCTCTCTTTTCTCCTCTCTCTTCTCCTCCTCTCTTGTTATCCTCTCTCTCCCCTCTCTCGTTTCTCTCTCCCTCCTCTCTCTTATCTCCCTCTCTCTCTCCCTCTCTCGTTATCTCTCTCCCTCTCTCTCGTTATCTCTCTCCCTCTCTCTGTTTATCTCTCCCTCCCCTCTCGTTATCTCTCTCCCTCTTTTCTTCTCATCTCTCTCCCTCTCTTGTTCTCTCTCCCTACCTCTCTCCCTCTCTTGTTATCTCTCTCCCTCTCTTGTTATCTCTCTCTCTCCCTCTCTCGTTATCTCTCTCTCCCTTTCTCGTTATCTCGCTCCCTCTCTCGTTATCTCGCTCCCTCTCTTGTCATCTCTCTCCCTCTCTCATTACTCTCTCTCTCTCTCTCTCGTTATCTCTCTCCCGCTCTCGTTATCTCTCTCCCTCTCTTGTTATCTCTCTCCCGCTCTCGTTATCTCTCTCTCCCTCTCTCGTTATCTCTCTCCCTCTCTCGTTATCTCTCTCTCTCTCTCTCTCGTTATTATCTCTCTCCCTC